GACAGCGCATGGTACCAGTCCGAAGCCCAAGTGCGTGAAGACGGAAAATCAGCACAGCGTGGCCTCTCAGTTCGCTGTCACCTGTGCACTAAGACACTTGCTACCACCTGCCACCACATGCCACTCAAATCGAGAGCGTCATCTCTATCAGCCGCGCAGAGCCTCGGAACTTGAGAATGAGGTTTGGAAGCTATGGCTTGGGTGGGAGGGTGAAAGTGAAAGCAATGCTGCCGCAGGCGATCGAGGGAATGATCATGTTAGCCTTGGTTCAATGCGTTTCACAATTGACACGGGCTGCGGTTGTTACCGCACTGCGGAACAAATCATGAGGAGTTTTTTTTTTTTTTTTTTTTTTTTTTTTTTTCGGGAGGCCCATGACGCTTCTCGGGAGGCTCAAGAGGCTTCCTGGGAGGCCCAATGGCCCAACGGGCTGCTCGGGAGGCCCACAGGGCTTCTTTGGAGGCCCGAAGCGCTTCTCGGGACACCCAAAAAGATTTTCCGGAAACCCGAGAGGCTTCTCGGGAAACCCAGAAGGTTTCCCAGGAAACCCAACACTTTTTTTCGGGCGACCCAGGATAAGGTTCTTCTGGGAGGCCCAATACGCTTCTCGGGGGGCCCAAAAGCCCTCCCTGTCAGAAGGCCCAAAAGGCCAGTCGGGAAGACCCAAGAGGCGTCTCGGGAGGCCTGAGAGGCGTCTCGGGTGGCCCACGGGGCCTCTCCGGAGGCCCAAAGCCTTCTGTCGGGAGACCCAGGATAAGATGCGTTTGGGAGGCCCACGATGCCAGTCGGGAGGCCCAAGAGGCCAGTCTGGAGGCCCAGGAGGCCAGTCGGGAGGCCCAAGAGGCCCGTCGGGAGGCCCACGAGCCCAGTCGGGAGGCCCAAGGGCCCAGTCGGGAGGCCCAAGGGGCTTCCCGGGAGGCCCAGGAGGCTTTTCCGGATGCCCAAGACGCCTCTCGGGAGGCCCGAGAGGCCCCTCGGGAGGCTCCTTGAAGCGTGCCAGAGCAACTATTAATTTCAAAGCTGATCGTATAGAAATTGTATTTTTTTCTCTCCGCCGGACCCTCCCTTCCCCCCCCCCATCCAGGGAAAATCTTTAGGATTTCCATAACACCCCCCTCCCTCCCGATGACGACGACGACGACGACGACAACGACGAAATCGACGACGACCACGACGACCACGACGTTGACGACCACGACGACGACGATGAAGACGACGACGACGCACGACGCACGACGACATCCCATGACCAGCCCAAGACGGTCGTAACCCGTCTCCGACAACGAGTCGCCCGCAAACCCCGACCTTAGTGTCATCATAACACCGTGGCCTGGGCCAGAACTTAAGCGCGCGATGCGCGTGCGTGGTCCTAGTGTGGAGAATCATGTGCGGAGGGGTGACGATCGTCGGGCCTCCGTAGGGGGGGTAGATGTTGTTTTCTCGGACAGGGAACCTATACGGGGCACCCCATAGGGCGCGAGGTATGTGCTACAAAACATAAGCCCGCGAAACCCAGCTGGCGCACGATGCGGCGAGGAGGCGGCGATCGGCGCCTCCGGGGCGAAACCCTGGCAAACCCAGCCAGCTCACACGGCGGCAGCAAGGCGGCGACGGATGGCCACCGTGCGAGAATCCGAGGACCTACCCAGTTATTCAGGGAAGCAGGCAGGAACCCTCGTTGCAAGCACTGTCAGAGCTTTTCGGCAACGCAGCAATCAAGTGGCACGAGAAGGTCTTGAAGTGTAACCCACATGTAGAGGGTAGCACCGCTGCGCGCGAGGAACCAGCCAGGCCTCGTGACCTTGGTGGCGAAGAGCCTGGACGTACTCCTTGAGAGCTTCTTTACCTGCCAGCCGATGGCTCAGAAGAGCCTGGTCCACCGATCGGGGTTCGATCATGAGATCATGGACTGTGGATCCGTCGGTTCTCGAAGGGTATTGGGCGATCGGCTGGTTTTCGATCCATCTTCGCGTTCGCGTTCGGCGCGCAGTGATGAATCGAGCAGCGTCGACCAGTGGGCAGAATCGGAACTGCAATCTGGCGTCGGATCAACTTGAGTATACTGGTAGCTCTTAAGGTCATTGCTCAATAGTGCAGTCAAACTCAAAGAGGATCTCTTCCCTGCTGCGCTATGGACGGTGTTCATTCGGGCGGGCGAGGTGAAATTGGTGGAGAGGCACAAGTCGTTACAAGTGCGATTGCGGCTCATTGGGGATGTATTGGAGAAACACGGCATCAAAAAGGCCAAGATTACCCTCAGAGAGATGCCCGACATGATCAGAGCAATGGGCAGCAACGGCGTGGTCTTGGAGCAGTGCCTGTCCCAGATGACCAGGCGCTTCATAGATATGCTGAACGCCACGAAGCAGCAGACCTCAGACGGGTCGCCCGCTCCCGACGGCGCGTTCGGCGAGGAGGATCCGCTGACGGAGGCCCCGCCCGAAGGACAGAGCACCCCGCTGAGGGCGAACTTGCTCGGCGAGGTGCAGGGCCTGATGCTGTCCTACTGGATCCAGCTGCGGGCCCTCCCCGTGGACGACCCCGAGCTGACCTCGACGGTCCTGTCCTTCTGCTCGGCCGGCGGCGACTGCCGCATGGAGCCCGCCGCTCTGGCGCGGGCCGTGGCCGAGCTCGGCCCGGCGGCCGCCGGCTCGGAGGCCGCCGCCGTGCAGGGCGGCCTGGTCGGGCACCTGACCGAGCAGCTCCCGCGCATGAGGCGGCGCGAGCTGGTGAGGGTTGCCATGGCAGCCAGGTCGGTCGCCATCTGGCACGCCGTCACCGCGGAGGTCCGCAGCTGGCTGCTCAGGGATGGCGTCGCCACCATCTCCATGCTGCGGCAGGGGCAGGACATCGACGACCTCCTCGCCATCCTCGCCCACAGCCTCGCCTGGTCACAGCACGCGCCGCAGGGAGGCGCCGCCGCGAGCGGGGAGGGCGAGCGCGCGGCGACCCGCGACCTGCTGCAGAGAATCATGCACCTCGCCGTGGACTCCCTGGAGCACGTCTCTCACAAGGAGCCAGAGCTTGCGAGGCGGCGGCTCGTCGCCACCGTGAACACCCTCTCCGCGTTCGAGCAGGGCGTCCCGCTGGGCTCGCTGAGCCGCTGCTTGCACGAGCAGGCCACCGCTGGGCCGGCCTGGGACGCCGCCAGCGCCGTGGAGGTGGCCTACAGCTTCTCGGCGCTGCACGGCGGGGAGATGCCCTTCGACGTCGTCGCGCGCCTGTGGAGGCTCGTCGGGGGCGCGCTCGCGGAGGCCGAGGCGGAGCTCTCCGACGCCGAACTTGCAAAGTTCTGGGCCTTCGCCCTGGCGGCGATGCACCTCTCCACGCGCTCCGCGCTCGCGGCGCTGCGGCTGGCCCCCGAGGGGCCCTCCGTCGAGAGCTACCTGCTCTGGAAGCGCTTGGCGAAGGGCCAGGTGCGCTTCGACCTCGCCAGGGAGCAGCAGGCTCGGGGGAGGGAAGGGTGCCAATACCGCTGCTCGTCCTGGAGAGCCCTCGCCGCCACGCCTGGACCTCCTGGGAAGGCTAGAGAGGAACGAACCCTGGGAGAGGCCGGGGGCGAGGTGACGTCGTCGGGCGAAGGGCAACGGGGGGGCAGCAGACGTGGGGGGATCGAGGCTTGCAGGAAAGTGGCACCAAAGGTCCCCTGAGCAGCCCCTGTACTGGCACCGCGGGCCCGAAAGATGCACGAAAGGTGCACGTTTCTTCATGCCACCGTTTATTGTCACCCGTTTACGAACATCCGATGTCGGTACCTTCGTGCTCCCCCTGCAGGCGGTCGGGTCGGTGGCGAGCCTCCGCGCTGGGCTGCCGCAGGCGTTGCCTGGCGAGGTGTGCCTGGAACAGCACGCGGTGCAGGGCAGCCCGTATGTAGCGGACTTCGCGCTGGAGGGGCGGAAGGCCGTGCTCGTCGTCCCGCGGTCCGTCCACCAGGCCGCCGACCGGGACGGGGCCCTGAGCGGGCCGGGGCGGCTGATGCAGCGGACGCTGGAGGCCCTCGGCTGGAGGGTGCAGTGGGTGTGGCCAGGCCGCGAGGCCGAGGCGCTGGCGGAGCTGGGCGGGGGGGCCGGGGCCGAGAGCGGGGACGGGGCGGCGCAGGGCGAGGCGGCAGACGAGGACGAGGCGGTGAGTGCCTCGGCGCAGTGAGCGGCCGCGGCCCCACGGGCCTATGAGTGCGCGCATATCGCGCGCGCGGCAGGAGAAGCTGCAGGCGCGGCGAGTGCGGCAGCAGGCGGAGGAGGAGGAGGAGGAGGAGGAGGAGGAGGAGGAGGAGTTTGCGAGCTATGGGGGAGAGATAAGTGCAGAGGGGGAGGAGAATGAGGAGGTTGCGCGAGACATGGGGGAGAGAGATATGCAGGGATGGAGATATCTGGATATATTCTGATACTTATGTTTATATATGTGTGGATCCATACATACAAGAAGAGAGAGAGAGAGAGAGAGAAAGAAAGAAATAAAGAAATAAAGAAAGAGCGAGAGACTGGGAGGAGGAGGAAGGGAGGGAGAGAGAGAGAGAGAGTTGGTATTGTAGAGGGGGGCCGTCGAAGAGGAGTTGAAGGAAGGGAGGGGGCCATCTGTCCCGCGGAGGAGGTGGTGGACAGCTCGGGCTCGTCAGACGAGCAGGCAGCCATTGCGCGCTTGATGTCCGAGCTGCAGCGCTTCTCCGACTTCTACAGGGACCAACTGGGACAGATGAGGAGGAGGAGGAGGAAAAAGGAATGAGGAGGATAATGAGGAGGAGGATGAGGAGGAGGAGGAGGAGGAGGAGGGAGGAGGAGGCCAAGGAGGAGTAGAAACAGCTCAATCAGCTTCGTCACAACGGCCATCCAGCGGGGAGTGTCGGGAGGACCAGGAGGATCTGGACGAGGAGGAGGAGGTGGGCGGGCGGCGCAGGAGAGGGTGGACGGGCAAGAAGGGGGACCCAGACAGCCGATGTTCCAATGTTTCCACGGCGGCGCACCTGGAAGTCCTGGTCCTTTCCCCATGGGGGGTGTTTCATCACAGGGTCCTGGGGTCAGCAACGGGCCCCGCGAAAAACTGACAAAAATCACCCGTTGTGATTTTTCACGACGCGAGCATGTCTGGGCACTCAGCCAGAAGGGGAGGAGGAGGAGGAGGAGGAGGAGGAGGAGGAGGAGGAGGAGGAGGAGGAGAAGGAGGAGGAGGAGGAGGAAGAGGAGGAGGAGGAAGAGCAAGAGGATGAGGAGCAGGAGAAGGAGGAGGAGGAGGAGGAGGAGGACGGAGGGGGAACAAAAACAACTGTTCGACTCGATAGGCTTACGCCGCATCCGCCGACCCCTTGAGTTTTTCGGGAGCGCGGTCCTTTGGACCATCGTTCACAGACGGCAGGCATCGGTCCAGAAACCGGAGGAGTGGTTCTCGATTGGCCTGGGGTGTATCCCGCCGCCGTGTGTGGGTTGCGGGTCTGAAGGCGCTCGGATGTCTGATACGATGTCGTGGGAGGCCTCACGTGGGCTTCTTGGAGGTGGTATTTGAGCTTCTTAGGGAGGTATTTGGGCTTCTTGGGGGGGTCCTGGGGGCCTCCTGGGGTCCTTTTATGTTTTTGTTCGGGGATCTCTGGGGCCTCTGGAGGGGATCTTCGAGCAAGCTGGAAATGTCTCGGGTGCCCGACTCGCACTTGCGCTCATGCATGTCATTCGCAAGTGACACGAAGGTAGGAGGAGACGGTGTGGACAGACCTTCTGGGGGCTTGAATGTGTTGTTCACGGGAAAGTTCTATCGATTGGAGCCACCGTCGGGGACAGCCATTAATGCGCTGCCCACTTCGTATTAAAAAAAAAAAAAAAAAAAAAAAAAAAAAAAAAAAAAAAAAAAAAAAAAAAAAACGTGAGGAAATACGCGCCGTGTGCCACGGAGGACCACGGGCAGTATATCTTCTGGGGAGCAGGAGGCGAAGGGGCAGCGCAAGGAATGACGGAATTGACAGAGCGCAAGCGAGTGGAGGACAAGGACTAGTGGTTTCTTGCAGTGCAGGACGAGTTTCGCCGAGGAGCGCTTGCTGAATTCACGCGCAATTCGTTGCATGGCAGACCGACGGATGTTCCGGGGTCGTGGGTGAACGGTGCACCGTTGTGCGGAAACGCTCGTTGTGTAAGAGAGGCAGAGGTAATTGCGAAACAGAACGGGCTAGAGCGTGATGAGTGCAAAGTGGAGCGAACGAGGAGAAAACTCGTCGCGACGTCGCCGGAAGACGCGGTTTCGCGAGGAAAATGTTCTCGACGCCGTCGCCATTTATGCGAATCAGGACATTCGCTGCCACGTCGGGAAGCAGAGAGCTGCGCAGTGGGCAAAGGAGCGAGGAGAACAGCTGCTCCGGTTCGCAGCCAGAAGCCGCCCGTGCCATGGGGGGGAACAGAGGCGGCCGCACATGGTGGAGGAGAAAAGACTCTCGCTGGGGTACAGCGACAAGGAGTGCGCAAGCTTGCCGGGGTGACTACCGCTGGCGAAGGGGATGCCCGTGGCTGTGGGGAATCATCTGGGTCGGCCGAAGAAGCAGCCTCTTCGGGGGCGCACAGCAGCGATCCGTGGATGAGCTTTGCACGAGGACGAGGTCCTGGGGGATGATTACGAGGAAGTCTTGTTACATCTACTGCGGGTGATTGCATTGGACTTCCACGCCAAGGAGTGGCACCTGCCAGGCTGGGAGCCGGGTCTGCATCCGATCTTCCCATCGAAATGCGGCAATGGTTCTTGGGCGGGCATTGGAAGCGCCCAGTGTCGCGCGCGAAACGCACGCAGTTCATGATCGCCCCGTCTTTGGCAGCGACGGCGCGCGCTGCGCGGGGCTGGGCCACGGGGGCAGCGATAGCGGACCTTGAAAGAGGGCGCGATGTGAGTTGGACGTCAAGTTGCGCCGCCATCGCGCGCGCAGGCGAGATAACCTTTTGATCTTCTGGCCTTTTGATAGGAAGCCGCGCAACGAAGGTGAGATGGCAGGCGCGAGAAGGCTGTTGCAGGTGCTCCGAGGAGAAGCCGTGAATTGGGAAGAGTGGGGGGCGGCCCTAACGCCGCGAGACCAAGTTCGAGCGGTGCCGGCGGAGTTTGCTGGTAGAGGCGTTCATGCAGCGCGAGTTTCAGAGGAGAGAGAGGCCAGCGTTTTGCAATGAGCGCACGGCAGTGACGAAGAGCGCAGACGAAACATTACGGAACACATGCAAGACATGGGCAACGAAAGGGGAGGGCGACGGATCTGCTCGGCAGGGCGGCGACGGGGGCGTCGCGGGGCGCGGCGACGGGGGGTATTAACACCATGCGCTGCGCGATGTGCCAGGGCGTCGAGTCGAAGAACGAGGCGCGTAGTAGCTGCGCGAAGTGGAAGGGGGGGCGTCTGCGCAGAGCGATGCCCAAACAAAACGCGCCTGTCGTTTTTCGACGAGAACACGGAGATGTCGGACGCGCAGAGGAGACGCCCCGCGCTCGGGGAGAGGGCGCGTCGGACGTGCGCCGGGGCAAGTGAAAGGGCAGCGCGAAAAGAAAACGCAGAGACTTCGAACCGCGAGAGGAAGGCTGAGGCGGAAGCGACGTCGTTGACGCGCCGCGCCCCCAGTTGCGGGGCGGCGTTCTGGGGCGCTCGGCATTTGTCCCCCTCGCAGAAGAAAGACCATCGAAGAGAAAGGAAGGTTGGAGCGGCGCGTGGAGATTTGTTCGAAATGTGGAGTCACCGCGAAGGTCGCAGCCGACGCGGCGAAGCGGTTGGAGCGAGAGCTCAAGTGCGCTACGCGCGACGAGGAGTTCCCTCGACGGGGCCGCGTCAACGACAGACAAGAGAGTGATCATTTCACGATGAAGAGTAAAGTTGCGCGCGTGAAGTGCATTGCCGTCGGCTTTGCGGCTCGCAATTGGCAAGCGCGCGGGTGCTTCGACGCCTGCGAGAGGAAGCCCCAGAAATGTCAGTTCGCGCGCGGTCCGAACTTCGCGCGCGCCCGCAAGGGGCGCGCGCTGAAGCGCAAGGCCTGCGCGGGAGACCCGCGGCGGCGCTGGCGGCGGCGGGCGAGCGCGCGGGGCCGCCAGGGGGAACGGGAAGAGGAGGGAGTCATAGAAAGGTGGGGAGTTGGTCGACTTTTCTGCGATGGGGGCCAGGGGGGGAATAATTGCTGAGGCGGTACATCGGACTGCCTGGGGTGGCATTGTCGCCGCGGCTGGGTTCCGGGAAGGTGTCTCGCGGGCGTCGCGGGCATGGAGCCTCGGGGCTATCCGCGGTGATCTCGTTGGGTGGCTTCGCGCGAGCCTCGCGGAGGCAGGTTCGAAGGCTCTCGGCGGCCATTGTGTGGCCCCTTTTGGGCTTCTCGGGGGCCTTCGGTGTCTTTGGGCTGCTTGTTGGGGGCTTCCTGGGTCCTCTCGGGGGCTTCTTCGCGTTTATGGGGGGTCTCTTCGGGCGGAGAATGCGCGGGTTCGGCTCGAGGTTCTACGGCGACGACGGCGAGCAGCTCGACAGGGGCCAGGTCCGTGAGGGCATCAAGCGGGAGATGAAGTTCATGGAGTCGCTCGACATCGGGCAGGTGGTCGAGCGCCCTCGCGACAAGAAGGTCTGGGGCACGCGCTGGCGTTACCGCGAAAAGAGCGACGGCGTCAGGAACGCGTTAGTCGCGAAGCAGTTCAGGGATGCGCAGGCGGATGATTTCTTCGCCTGCGCCCCTTGCACGGAGGCCGCGCGCGTGCTGATGGCGGCGGCGTTGCTGCTCGAGCGCGTCATCGCGGCGATGGACTTCAGCGTGGCCTTCGCGCGCGCGCGCCAGTGAAGCAGGGCGCCGAGATCTACGTGGCGATGCCGCCTGAGTGCGGCATGGGGCACGGCTTCGCGTGGAAGCTGAAGAGGTCTCTCTATAGGCTCAGAGAGGCGGCGCTCAGGTTTCAGGAGTTCCTTGGCTTCGAGGCGTGCAAGGCGGAGCCCGCGATCAACCGCCGCGAGGGGAAGGGCATCGGGGTCGGTGTTCACGCGGGCGATCCCCTTGCCTCGGGCCCGACGCAGAGTGCGTTCGACGAGGTCTTCGACGAGCTGGCCAAGCACCTTGCGGTCAAAGGGCGACGCGTTCTGGGTGGGGCTCCTGTGATCTACCTCGGGTCGTCATTGCAGCGGTTCGGGGGCGTGGTCGTGGAGTAGAGCAAGCCCAGCAATGTGGAGAGCATCCTCGAGGCCGCGGGGATGTCGGGCCGCGCGGCGGCGGGCGCTGCGGGCGCGAGACCAGACCTCGCACATCCTGGAGCCGAGCAGCCGCTCAAACGCGAGGAGCGTTCGCTATGCCGGAGGTGCTGCGAGAAGATCCAGTACGCCGTTCCGCGGAGGCTGGGCGCGATGAACCCGCTGAAAGGAGCTGGGCAGACAGTTGAGCGAGCCACGCTCGGCCGATATGAAGTACCTGAAGCACTTCCTCCGCTGCCTCAGCGAGACGATCGACCTGGCGATGGTTCGCCGCTCGTCACGGGACTGGAAGCGTCTGCGATGGTGTGCCGTCTCGGACTGGGCTGGGCGCCGCGAGACTCGAAAGTCGACGGCGTGCGGGATCGTGCGATGGTGCGGCGTGGTCGCCAGTGCCTACGCTCGCACGGAGACGCCTTGGCTCAGTCCAGTCCGGAGGCCGAGAACCTCGCGGCAGTGGAGCTCGCCGCGGGGATGCCGTGCGTTCGTGAACTCGGGAGGTTCGAGGGCTTCGACACGT